CGCTGTTGTCGCCGTCGTTGTCGCCGTCGCCGTCGCCGTCCCTGTCCAGCCCCTCCCCCTCCCTGGGCAGCGCCGGCGCCGCCTCCCCCCCCAGCAGGTGGGAGAGGAATTCGGGAATGGCCCCGGGAAAAGGGCCGGGAAAAGGGGATGGGGAACAGGGATCGGGATTGGGGGAATCGGGAAAACGGGATTGGGAATGGGGATGGGGGAAAGGGGAATCGGGAATTGGGAACACAGAAATGGGGATTGGGGATAGGGATGGGGAAAAGGGATTGGGAATTGGAAAAGGGGTTGGGAACAGGGAAAAGGGGTTGGGATTGGGGATGGGGGAAAGGGATTGGGAATGGGAAAATGGGATTGGGGAAAAGGGGATTGGGATGGGGAAAGGGGATTGGGGTGGGAAAAAAGGGCTGGGGGGTCAATCCTGAGAGGGTTGGGATTGGAAAAAGGGATTTGGGATCATTCCCGGGGTTTGGGATCAATCCTGGGCTTTGGGATAGTTCCCAAGGATTTGGGACATGTAAGGATGATTCCCAGGATCTGGGATCATTCCCAAGGTTTTTGGGATCGTTCCTTGGCGACTCTGCCCCATGCCAGCCCCTCTCTGGGAAGATTTCCTCGGAATGAGCCCTCTGGAATTCCGGGAATTCTCCCCCCGGCAATCCCCTCCCAACATTCCCAAATTCCCGAATTCCCGCAGGTCCGTGGGGGTTGAAGTTCACCCGGGGCCTGGAGCAGCTCCTGGAATTTCCCTGCCCAGGTGAGGCTGCATCCAGAGTTTTGGTTTTTAATTTATTTTTTATGGAATGTTTTCCAGGAAATCCTGGCATTTGGAGCTTGTTGGGCTCGGATCTTTCCCAAAAACTGGGGAAATTCCCAAAGAAATCTCCCTTTCCTTGATCCCAGGGCTGGAATTCCTGTGGAATTCCCAGGGAATGTTCTCTCCATCCACAAACTCCATGGAATATTCCCTTTATCCACGTTTTCCACGTGGAATTTTCATGGAATATCCCCTTGATCCAGGTTTCCCATGGAATTCTCCTCTGGAATTCCCAATCCCTGCATTCCTGGAATGCCCCAAAATTCCCAGTGGGGGAAAAAAAAAAAAAAAAACAAACTAAAAATCCCTTGGGGGAAAAACCCGATTTTCCCCACGTTTTGAGTTGATTTTCCCAGGATTTCCTGGGAATTCCGTGGGAGCAGCAGGAAGTTGGGATCCAGGGCTGGGATTTCTTGGATTTCTTCCCCCCAGAATTCCCGGAATTCCCGTTTTTTCCCGTTTTTTTTCCAGCGGATCCCCCGGCCCTTCCCTGCCCCTGGAGCTGGAGGAGCTGCAGGAGACCGAGATCAGCTTTGTGAGTGTTTTCCATGGGGGAAAAAAACCAGGAAAAATCGGGAATTTTCAGGGAATTCCCAGGCGTTTGGGAGGGGTTGGGATCCTGGAATTTCCTGGGAATGGGGCGGGATCGGCCCTTCCCTCATTCCCATGGGTTTGGGCAGCCCAAAATTCCTGGAATTCCCCAAAAAAGGAGGAAAATTCCTCATTCCCAAAGTTCTGGAATATCCCAGATGATCCCATCCTGAGCATTCCCAGATTTTCCATCTTTAATTCCAGTGGAATTTGGGAAGAAAATTCCTTCCCAAAATTCCTGGAATTCCTCAAGAAAAGGAAGAAAATTCCTCATTCCCAGAGTTCTGGAATATCCCCAAAATCCTTGGAATTGCCCAAAATTTTTTGGGGGGGAACCCAAATATTCCATGGGGAAAATTCCCAATTTTTCCATCATTCCCTATTTTTGTTTGTTTTTTTTTTTTGTTTGTTTTCCCAGTGAATCGGCGCCGATGGAATCCCAAAAATCCTTTGGAATTTCTTCATTTCCTGGGAGCCGGGAAAGCGGGAACGGCCCCGGGAAAATCCGGGAATGTCGGAATTCCCTGGAAAACCTGAGGCTGAAAATCGGGAAAAAGGACCTGAAATTCCCAGGAATTCCCGAATTTTGGGTTGAAAAAAACCACAAAACCAAACAGAAAACAGGAGAGAATTCCTGGAAAATTCCCACCGGGAATCAGGAATTTTTGGGGAATTTTTTGGGGGGGATTTTTGTTGGATTTTTATCCTGATTTTTTTTTTTTAAATTTTTATTATTCCTTCAGATCCTGGTTTTTAGTGCTGTGGGAATTCTTTGGGGTTATTAATTATAATTAATAATTATTATTTTTTTATTCCGAAATCGGGATTTGCTCCGAGTTTTCCATGGAAAATCCTCCAAAAAAAAAAAAAAAACAGGAAAAAAAAAAAAGGGAGGAAAAATCATGGAAAAACTCCTGGCTCCTCCCTTTTCCTGAGCAGGAATTTTGGGAATCTGTTCCCACATCAGAAAAGATTTTTCTGGAATTTTCTTGGAATTTTGGGGGGGGATTTTTTTGGATTTTCTTGGAATTT